CCCCGCTGGCACTTCCACCACGAGCACCGCCTCCTCGGTCGGGCACTTGCTCTTCTCGTGCCCGTAGCCCTTGCATGTCTCACATCGCACGGGCTTGCTCTCGGGGCAGTTGGCCACCTGGTGGCCCTTCTTACCGCACCGGAAACAGCGACCGCGCATGCTACCCGCATCGTCGTCGCCGCCTCCGCTGCCGCCACCAGCCTTCGCGCCACCCCCTCTCCCCTTCTGATTGCCGCCGCCGCCGCCGCCGCCGCCACCCTTGCGGTGGCCGCTGTTGCCGCGGCCCGGCGGTCCTCCCCCGCCGCTACCGTCGCTCGCGAGGAGAGCATGCTCCGCCCTGCGCTGGCCCTTCGAGGCCTTCCTCTCCTCCGGGAGGCTCGCGTGCACCGTGCTCACGATCCTGACGATCTCGGCCCTATCCAGTGCCGTTGCTGTCTCCAACAGGAACGTCGCTTGTTGGTACTCGGGCGGGAGGGAACCAACGAAGTGGGCGAGAACGAAGGGTTGTTCAGCATTGAGCCCCTTTTCGCGCAGACGGGCATACCGCAGCTCGAGTGAGTAGAGGTGCTCGATGGGGTTGCTGTTGCTGTGTGTGGGGATTGCAAAGTCGAACATCTTCCGCATCAAGGCCTTTATTGACCCCTGTGACTCCGGATCGTAGACCTTTTCGATTTTCGCGAGGACCTCTTTCGCTGACGTACATTACTGATGATTGCTTTGTCAGCTTCTTTTACCACAGCAGTAGTGATAAAATGGAACGCCCGAAGCCCTCGTTGGACTACTGCTCTCGTGTGCCCCCTACGGAGCAGTTCGGAAGTCGGCAAGTCTGGGTCGCCTACGGGGATACTGCTCTCTGCATCTCCAATAAACTGCCCGTACAAGTCGATGGCCTTCGCAGCTTGGATGAACGATTTTCGCCACGAATCAAATCCGTGGCTACGGCTTTTTCCGTCTAGGAGCGGAGCATTGACCGTTACCCTCTTCATGTGGCTACTGCTGTAGCCGTCGAGGTATTCTCCATTTCCTCGAATCACGGGTATCTCACCTGGGGGGTTTAACCCCCTCGCTTCCCCGTAGTCCGGTCCTATGCCCGGGCCCACTCCGGCTGGTCCAACAGGGTTCGCTCCCGATCTGCTGGCCCAGCCGCCTTCCAGCAGCGACCGTGGTCCTTGCCCACTATCTCTCGCTTGCTGCTGGAGAAATCCCCCGCCACCGCCGAGCGGCAGCGTGGGCTCTTCTCGTTGGCCTCTGGGGGCAGCAACCCAGCCACCCCTACTGGCTGCATCCGCCACGACGCTGCCAACCTCCTTCTTCTTCACCGACTCCTCCACCAGGGCCGCCAATTGCGAAATCTGCCGTTGCAAACTTGCAAGCTCTGCATCGCGGCCCTCCTCCACCGGCGAGCCGATCTGTTCTCCGCTCACAGAAGTGGGCGTCTCACCTCCGGCAGAGCTCATCCCGATGTGGCTTCCCTCGAGGGGCACACTCTAGAGTGNGGGTATCTCACCTGGGGGGCTTGACCCCCTCGCTTCCCCGTAGTCCGGTCCTATGCCCGGGCCCACTCCGGCTGGTCTCGCAGGATTCGCTCCCGATCTGCTGGCCCAGCCGCCTTCCAGAAGCTGCCGTGGTCCTTGCCCACCATCTCTCGCTTGCTGCTGGAGAAATCCCCCGCCACCGCCGAGCGGCAGCGTGGGCTCTTGTTGGCGTTCCGTGGCGGCAACCCAGCCGCCACTACTGGCTGCATCCGCCACGACGCTGCCAACCTCCTTCTTCTTCACCGACTCCTCCACCAGGGCCGCCAATTGCGAAATCTGCCGTTGCAAACTTGCAAGCTCTGCATCGCGGCCCTCCTCCACCGGCGAGCCGATCTGTTCTCCGCTCACAGAAGTGGGCGTCTCACCTCCGGCAGAGCTCATCCCGATGTGGCTTCCCTCGAGGGGCACACTCTAGAGTGTTTCCGGCCTACGCCACATTTTTATCGGGTGAGAGTGGTGATGTATGAACTTCACGACAGGTCGACGACCGTCCTCCACACGGACGAAAGAGGGAGTGCCCCACAGGGGCGGCTCCCACACCAAGGAGGGGCCCCGTGACTCATTGCGGTGCCCCCTACCAAACGGCAATATTACCAATCTGCGTGACGCCAAATCATACAGCACATGTATCAAACACCAATGTTCGCAGACCCACGAACAAGTTATGCCCAGTTATTCCTCATTTTAGCCATCTCCGGCGCAAATAGGCGCCTAATTGGTAATGATACAGTGAGATATTGGCATATCTGCTCATTTTCTTGCTTGTTCTGCTCCAGGAACAGGTTGTTCTGCTCGACTACTGCTTGTTCTGCTCGAGCAGATGTTGAAATTGGATCTGCTTATGCCTATGCTACTTATGGCCAGATCTGCTATTCTTTCTGCTATCAGAATGAGGAAGGGCCTAGTGGATGTTCGAATGTTCGAGAACGGCTGCAAGTGGGTTTCCACAACGTGCAAGAGCGTGTTTCCTTCGTGTCATGTTCAATCTTTGGATCAATCTTTGGTCGGGAGTTGTCTTGGAGTCCGAACTCCGAGAATGGGTAGCAAAGCCTTGGGGCGCGTGCGAACGAGAGGGGCGGAGAGAAAGAGAAACTGATACATATATACAGAGAAACAAATGGATATAAATCGCTTCCCCTCTGTTCACGTCAACTCTGAATCTCTCGGTATGTATCCGGAAAACTTATCTGAAGAGGACATCTGCGCGCCGTTTGGATTTTCCCCGACTGGATTATTGGAATCAGCAGAGAGAGCCTGATTTCGTATGCAGGCAATAATGTTGCCGTTGCGGGCGTGGGCGAGGATAGACGAAAAGGGTTGACGACGCGGATGTCAGATGTTCTTGCATTCATTGTGCATGTAATGTTGTCGGACCGTTTCCCCGCCAACAACGTCCACTATTGACAAGCCCCAGAACCATGACCGACATTTCCACGCCTGGCAGAGGCTCTACATAGTGCGCGCCCTACTTGAAAACCTGGCAGCTGTGCATGGGAGCCCCATCAACCTCATTTTTTTTCGAGCAACAGCAACTGCAAGCGCACATTTACGATGGCCGACTACCAATACCCGTGCCTCGCGCAATATTATGCAACGGGAGACATTCCCTACGAAAGGGGTGCAAAAATACGAGCTGATTACACGGTGGCTAGGCGTTGTCTGTAAGCAGTGGCATGTACTGTACAGGCAGGAGGGGTTCAACCCTACCGACCCACGCTCCCGGCTTTGGTTCTCGTGGTAGTGATTTCGTATTTCGGCATGCTTTGGCGTCAATAAACATCGTCGTTCGACCAAAACAAAAGTAGGACAGGAGTACGTTCCATGCCCCATGCCAGGAGGCACGTTCACGGCCACCGCGCAATGTGCAGGATGATCGTGTCAATATAGAGGGGGCGAGAGGCCGAACCGTCCCGCCAGTTGTTCCCGGGGGGGGGCAAAGGTCATCTATCTCTGACAGTCTAGACCTTCGAGCCGGGAACGCGATCGTTTTACGCACACACGCTACTTCTGAGTTACTTACGCAGGGATGCCGGTTTTCGCGCATCAAATAATTGTAGTTGGTGTTATCAATTACAGACCCATTGATGATGCTTCTAGTGGTCTAGCAATTGCTGCAGACGATGCAAACCGAAAGAAGCTGTCTACCGCCCGTGACGAGCGTTTCCAAGGCCCGTCTTACCCGGCATTGCGATGAAAGTGCCTCTCAACGAAAAACACGCGTGTTGGAGAGCAAGACAAAACCACTACTACCCAAACCCAACCGCTACGCCGACATATTCAAATCCATACGCATACTCGCGAACGTTGCCAAAGGTTGTGGTTCGATTTTGCTGCCTTGAGGTTTTTTGCAGAAATAATTAGCATGTCGGCAAAATATCTGGTTTCTGTTCAAGCGCCTTGCTGGCTAGTGCCGCCATGAGCAAGAGCAAGAGGACGCAATGCCAATATTCAGCGCATTTTCTTGCAAATCTTGGCGAAATCACCTTATCGGTACATCAAGCGGCAGCGGACTCACAAAAGTGCACGTGTCCAACCTACACCCTCTTGGTCTAATCTATTGAAACACGTATACGACGCAGTGTTGCAGCGTCGACTTTTACAAAGAATTATCTCATCTCTTGGAGCACGGCGATAGCTGCATGCACCGCTTTTGTTGTATATGTCCGCGACTTGGAAGGGAGAGACTGAATATCGCTTGTATTAGAAACGCAGAAGCAAGAGAATAGAAGAAGAAGAGTGCTTCCGGAAAACAGAGAAGCAGGGGTCACAAACACAAGAACCCCAAAATGGTATGTCTACGTTCCTGTCTGCGAATATATCCGTTACTGCGGTCGATCAATACCTGTCCGTATCCAAACACACGAACACCCTCCCTGGTTTTTCACGCAAGTGGCAAACCATCCGTGGGGCATGGTTACCCCTGATCAGACCTAGGGACTCTAAACAGTAACGGTGCAAGGGAAAACCCGGCCATCCGGATCAAAAACCCTCGCCTACCCTAAACATATATAACCGTCGCTATCACGGAGGATTCCAACGGCCGCACTTCCAAGACAAGATCAAGGCAGGACAAATTGTACCGGGCACGGGGATTACGCATCTCTCGGTAGCGCTACGGGCGCTTCTAGGCTCCAACCTCGAGTGACGTGCCGGTAAATCCTTCCTGCGTGACGTACCATGATCATAAAGTCCAGTGCTAAACAACAACAAAAAAA